CTGGGGATTGAACTCGGGTCCTTGCACTTGCAAGGCAGGCCACTGAACCACTGAGCTAAATCCCCAGCCCTCCCTCAGATTTTTTTTATAGGATCTCTGAAGGTATGAACTTATGACTCTATTGTCTATAATTGAATTCTTAGGTCCCACAACAGTGCTTGGTTACTCAATAAACATATATTGGACAGATGAGAGAGGCTAACAGATTTGTTATATTCTTTACTGAACTGTTTTGAGTTTATCATTTCTTAATTTTTAGTATATTGATAGCACCTGGAATGACTTTCTATGTATTGAAATAATGTTACGGCACATTTCTAACACATTTCTATGTGATAATTTATTTCAGAATGTACTTTTCCAGGTATCTATACTCCATTATCTGATAGGGGATATCAAGGCAATATAAATACACTTACATTAGAAACCCATATTGGGCTGGGGATTTAGCTCAGTGGTTCCACTACCTGCCTCATAAGCATAAGGACCCAAGTTTGATCCCTTGTATTAGAAAAGACAAAAAAAAGAAAAAGAAAACAAAAAGAAACCCATATGCATGTTTGCCTTCTATACACTTGAGCCATCTTTTTCCTGGAAATGTTCTTCATCCTTTAGATCAAGGCAATGAACTGTACCAGGGCAAGGAACTGTACCAGTCTGTGCCTGCTGTGAACTGGACCACAGAGCAGGAGGTGAGCAGCCCACGAGCCAACAAAGCTCCATCCTTGTTTACAGTTACTCCTCCCTCATCTCTCATGTTACTATGTTCTTCCTCCCGTCAGAGCAGAAGCAGCTTTAGATTCCTCTTTTCCCCATTTTAACTTTTAGTACATATTTGCAGTACATAACGATTACATTTCTTGGGGGAATTGGAGGACACATATGACATGTCTCAACCTCCCTCACCCCGAACTCTGCTCTGAATTGCTCAGGCAGGGAATTGCTCGTGTGCTTGCCTTCTCATCGACCCCTAACCATGCCTCACCGTCTCCCCCTTCCCCGCCCACATTATCTTCTATAAAACCTGTTCTGTTGCCTGGTGGTAAAGAGGGTGGAGCTCACTTCTAAATATTATAATGTAATTTCTCAGAGTTTCCGTATTGCTAAGGAGTATAAACGGTCTGGGTGTCCCTTTTCATTTCCATGGATTTTTTAAATACCTCTCATCAGAAGGGTGGGCAGGGAAAAGGGGAAAAAATGAAAAACAAGACCCATCATGTAAAGCTACAAGAACCCAATAATGAATGTAACTGTACTGTGTACCTAAAATGTACCAATAAACTCAATGAGGAAAAGAAGGGCAGTGAAGCAGTAAGAGAAGGTGAAGAGTATGTTTTGCAGCCAACAGGCATTATAATTCTGGCTTATCACTTTCTAAGTGATTGGCTAAATTTTAATTTATCTAAGCCTTTATGACGTTTGTAAAACAGAGATGATCAATGATAACTGCATCTCAAGGTTTTTATGAGGATTATTGATACACATATGCCACACGTTCAACAGACACACAGAGCTATTGGGTCACATGTCAACAGGATATATAATGAACCGAGAATATAAACTTTCAGGGGAATCAGGGGCATTTTTTTATGCTTTCATAAATGCACTGTATTTAAAATTTTTTCTTATTAGTACTCATTTGCAATTTATACAGTTTACAATCACCTTGGGGAGTGGTTACATGTATGTATTACAGCTTGTGTCTTTTTAAAAAGAATCTCTTCCCCGCTCCACTCCTCATCCAGGTCCCCATCTCCTTTTTCATACTTGTTGATGTGATTTGGTTTAGCTCATGCTGTAGCATACAGTGCTTACATTAATTGGGGCTATTAGGTACATGGCATATTTTTATTCTTCTTATTTCCTTTTCTGTTCTCCTCACCCCTTGCCCTTGTTCCCTTAGACCGCTTACCCTTTGCAACAGATCTGCCCCTTTTTCCTTTTCTGTCCATTCTTTATGATTTTCTTTGTCCTTTGCCTTACTCAAATGAGAGCTACCACATGGTAGTTAAGCTTGTGTGTCTGTTTTTTTCCCCGCACTTTTTTCTGTGCAACCTAGAAACCTCATGTATGTCAGTGAGCACTAAAGTGTCTACAACATTCTCTCTTGGTTTCTCTCACTGTATATGTCCTTACTTTCCCTTCCCATGCTCTCGTGTGCCTCCTTTCCTTTGCTGCATTGCCCAAAACCTCATCTCTGAGTGTTTTACCACTGAGTTGCACAGAGAAAGTTACAGCATAAATGCGTCTTAAATATTTGTTCACACCCGTAATGCTCCAGGCACTGATTCATTCACTCTTTTAACAAATATTTATTTTGGTACCAGGGATTGAACTCGGAACCTTGTGCTTGTGAGGCAGGTGATGGAACCACTGAGCTAAATCCCCGGCCCATAATTATGAACAGCTATCGTATCTTGATAAACACTTTTTTTTTTTTTTTTTTTTTTTTTGGTACTAGTGATCGAACTCAGGTCCTTGGGCTTGCATGGCAGGCAGCGGAACCACTGAGCCAAATCCCTGGCTCAAGGAAATATATTAATCGTAACTTTCAACACAATCATTATACTTCTTTATTACATCATTTTCTCTCACACAACAATTAATAGATCTTTCTTGAATGAGTTAATTAATTTATATATACAAGGAAAGCAAACTTTAGTATTTGTGTGTATATATAAATGTATGTATCAATATTTTGGGTTTTCCTAAAATAACTTTAACAAAACACATAGGATTAGTATTTCCTCTTTATAAATTTGATGGGTCACTTCTAGTTTCTTTTATTAATTTGATGCTGTTGCATAGAGATGATTTGTTGTTGGACTTGTCTACTAACTCAATTTAATGAGGAATTGTGTTCTTTTAATTCATAGTTTTTGTCTGCAGTATAATTCACATGATCATGAGAAAAAGCATTTTCTCCAGGCCTTTTGTACAAGGAAAGATAAGTAACATTTGGGAATATTCAGATAACTTTTCCATGAGAAAATTAACAGCATTCTTTGTTCCCTTTTTCCTGGTCTAAAATGCTAACTTTTATAACCAAAATGATTTTTTCTTATATATTGCCAAACACCTCATTATTCTGGAATTATCAAGTCATTGATGAATTTTTGTTTTTTAGTTTTAGTGTTTGGCACTGTACAGAGGGAATCTTTCTCTGTTGCCATAGGAAACAGTAGGAGGAAACTGAAAGTGAGGGGGGAGTGATTAGAAATGTGATTCAAGTTCTATTTATTGTGTGTCTGGCCTGGAATTTTTGCAGACCTGATGATTTCTGAAACCATTGGTATTCTTGTAGAGGTATGATAATTTGAAAAGTTCCTGAAGAAGCATCACCTAATTCTAAAAGGTGGTGCTTATTAAATTAGTCATTTTAAAATAATTTAAGACCCTTGACTGGCACAGATAATAACATACAAAATAAGTCTCTTCCACAACCCCTTTAAATATTTGAAATAATTAATCTGTTATTTTTCTTTTATAAATTATGCTAGATTTTCATGTAGGAAATCTGAATCAAAATCTCCTTCCTCCTAGGAATTTAAATTGAAATATATAACACTACTCATAGCTGTACTAAGTTTCCTCTTAGAAGGATAGTTTCAAATATGCATACTTCCATTCCTCTGAGTCTTGTGATGTGGATTTTTTTGTTGTTGTTCATCAGGGCTAGAGAACTGATTACTGTGAATTTTATTACAAGACTTTGTAATTACTTTGAAGACTCTCTGGAGAACCAAGTGGATTGCATGAAAATTTTCTGCCCTCACCGCCTAGCCACAGAATGCCCTGTGTCTCTATTCAATATTTAAAACATTTACATAGTTGATATCATATGTTGATTCCCATAAGGACAGCCTAGAATAGATTATCTCATTTTATCAGATACTCAGTATTCTCACTACGAAGAAGTTAAATAATTTATGAATATTTTTAAAAGTAGAACTAAGGTTTGAATCTTTGTATTATTTTCTTCAAAAATTGATGCTGATGTCACTATCACTTGTTGCCTATTGGAGGGCATTTTACTTTGCAATATGTCAATTCATCAAACTGCTACAATTCAAACTTGAAATATTCACTTCTCATTCATCTTTGTTATATCTACATATTTATTAAACAAATGCGTATTTATTCTTAGGAAGAATATTCAGTTTGCTTTATGATGCATTTGAAGAAGAATATGGGTTTTGTTTCTTTTGTTTGGCAGTACCAACAAGGAAATCCAGGTCCTTCCTATGCTAGGCATGTGCTGTTTCACTGAGCTATCCCTAGCCTTTTATAGATAACTTTATTTTTACAGCTGTGTAATTAATACATGCTCAGTGCTGAAACTTTGGAAAGAAATAAAAGGCCTAATGAAAAATTAAAGTAAAATAAATCATATCACCTAAAAAAATCACCAATGTTTAATATTTTGGAGTGCATATCATTCAGTTTTCTGTCTGCACTAGGTTAAATGCTCTAACTTCTGCCTGAAAGAACAGTTCTTCCAGTTGCAAAAGATATTTGATTTTATGTATTCCAGATGAACCAAAGAAAAATAATCATTCTAAGCAAGACAGAGGCAAGAAGCTATATTACCTATTTTATAAAATCACAAGTGAGACAAAAGAAATTAGATGTATTTATTTATTTATTCTGTATTATCAGAGCTCTCTTTTTCTCACTAGTGTGGACCATTCAAGCTTACCTAGACTAAGTGTAATTATGTTGTTAAAAACTCATGCTCTTTTTTCCCCCCAGGTTTTGAAGATCATGATTGCATGGATGCATTTAACCAAATCCTTCCTGAGCACATGGTGGTTCTTTAGAGAATATATCTAAATTTCTGGCTAATTCCTTTATGTGCCACTCATCATAGGACTTTGATGGTATCTGTCTGCGCTCTCCTAAACTTTCCTCATGATGCTATCTTTATTAGCTTGAACTCCTTTCTTAAAATGGTCCTTCTGTTGATCCTGTCCGTCCTGCTTTTGAAAGAAGATGTCCGTGGGAGTGCACAGTCCAGTGAAAGGAGGGTGGTGGCTCACATGCCAGGTGACATCATTATTGGAGCTCTCTTTTCTGTCCACCACCAGCCCACTGTGGACAAAGTTCATGAGAGGAAGTGTGGGGCAGTCCGGGAACAGTATGGCATTCAGCGAGTGGAGGCCATGCTCCACACCCTGGAAAGGATCAACTCTGACCCCACACTCTTGCCCAACATCACCCTTGGCTGTGAGATAAGAGATTCCTGCTGGCATTCAGCTGTGGCCCTAGAGCAGAGCATTGAGTTCATAAGAGATTCCCTCATTTCTTCAGAAGAAGAAGAGGGACTGGTACGCTGTGTGGATGGCTCTTCCTCTTTCCGCTCCAAGAAACCCATAGTAGGGGTCATTGGGCCTGGCTCCAGTTCTGTGGCCATTCAAGTCCAGAATTTACTCCAGCTTTTCAACATACCTCAGATTGCTTATTCGGCAACCAGCATGGATCTGAGTGACAAGACTCTGTTCAAGTACTTCATGAGAGTTGTTCCTTCAGATGCCCAGCAGGCAAGAGCTATGGTGGACATCGTGAAGAGATACAACTGGACCTATGTGTCAGCTGTGCACACAGAAGGTAAGTTTCCTTTATATTGAGTATGGCTTCTGATGCATTCAGCATCTTCCAAGCTAAAACTTCAGGTTTGGAAGCCTAACCTATGCTGAATTGCTTTCGGTGTTTCTAGTCGCCTCATTTATAGCAGCATTATGAAAAGGGAGTGGATTAAAGATATCTAGAAAAACATATTTAAGCTCATATAATGGTTTGTGTTTCCATAATTTGGTTAAATGAAAAGTTTGAATTTATATTAGATTGTTTTTATTTCTGCCACAGTGATGGTTTTTGACATTTGTTTCTAGAGATTTCTAGGTTTTCCAGATCTTTGATGAATATCTTGTATATTTAAGATTTTAAGATTGCTCAAAATACAACTTTTTTCTGGTTATTAAAGAAAGATACACAAAATTATACATAAGACTGAAGGTAGCTAGTTCTAGATCAGGTATGTTGTTATAAAGAATTGCTAGTTTAAATGTACAACTATTTTTTGATAGAATTCATGGTCTAATTCTGAAATGGAGGTGAGTGAATTAATTTTATCCTTTTATAGGACATTCTTGGAAGTATAATTTTTAATAAATTAAATATAAATTTGCTTTGAAATATATTGCTTCTTTACACTGAAACTCTAGTGAGGAAGGAAAAAACTTGACTGATATTTTATGTGAATACTAATTTTCTTCTTGTTTCATATGGTATTTTCAAAGTGATTTTATATATATTGTATGTTAGTTCTTGACTAAGGTTTGAAATGGGTTTAATTTGACCTATAGAGGTAAGGGTTATGTGTTATACAACACTTTTTCTAAGACAACAAAATGCATATATTAAGAATACAGAGTAAGATACAAATCACTTTTCATCAATCATTGACCGTTTATGAAGATTAGTTAAGGTTTAAAAGAGTTTGTAATAACATACCAATATAGTCCAAACTATGTAACCCTGAAAATTTGCTGTTAAGTTATTGGTAAATTAATGAAATTATCTACGTGAGTTTACTTCAGAAGTTGGAGCCAATAACCAATTAGGTTTAGGAAAATTTTCATTTTCAAGTGGCATAACAAAATTAATTCACCATATGACCACTTATTCATATATATAGAATTGTGCAAATGTAAAATGATTTCTATGTGGATTAAGATATATGGAAAATTTTATGTATAAATTGATAGTTCATTTAGAGGTATACCAGTTTTGGATTTTGAGCAACAGATGAGTGTGTGGAGTAGCAGATGTTTCAACATTTTTTCTATTCTGAGGAAAAAGAACCTCCCAATACTTGGGAGAGAATCTAGGGGATTATAAATGCTGTATGCGAGTTAAGCATTCAATCTCCAAGCTGCATTTCAAGCCCTAAAACATCCTTTTCTTATTCTGGTCACTTTGTTGTTGCTATGTTTGTTTTTGGTGCTTGGGATCAAATCCAGGGCTTAGCAAGTTCATCTTTTCAGCCAGTAAACAAATGCAAATCAAAACCACACTGAGATTCCATCTCACCCTGGTCAGAACTGGCATAATGAATAGTACACAAACAATACATGTTACAGAGGATGTGGGGTAAAGGAATTCTTCCACACTTCTACTGAGAATGGAAAGCAGCACACTCTCTATCAGGATGGAGGCTCCTCAAAAAATGTAATATAGTACAGCTACTATGAAGGTTCCTCAGAAAGCAAAAATAGAGGAACCACTTGATCGGGGTATACCACACCTTGGTATATGGTCCAAGGAATTAATAGCAGTATACTATAAGGATATCTTCCTACCTATTTTTGATGTGGCACAATTTTCAATAGCCAAGATATGAAACCAGCCTAGGTGCCCATCAACAGCTGGATTTAAAAATGTGGTATACATACATAATGGAGAATTATTCAGCCAGGAAACATGACCAAATTATGTAATTTGCAGGAAAATTTGTGAATCTGGAGGTTGTCCTGTTGAGCAAAATAAGCTAGACTCAGAAAGATAAATATGTCATATTTTTCCTAATATGTGGAATCTAAAAATGATAACAAAAAAGCAGAAGAAAGACTTATTAGACAAGAAGAAGGGGATAAAGAGGAGGAGAAGAGTGTTATTAGGGCAGGTGATAGGGGCAATGGGTATGATCAAAATTCATTACACAGTTGGAACCCTGCCCACCCCACCATGCCTAATGTGAAACTAGGGGGAAAGGTTGAGTAAGGGGACGGATGGAGAGAAATGACTAAAGTATATTATATACTATATATATGTATGTATCTACCAGAATGCAACTCATTAACCTTTATAACCAATATATACTAAAAATGGGAAAAAATCCCTGAAATAAAACTGTCTTACAATTAAACTCTCAAATCACTATATCACAGCTTTAAATTATGTTTCTCAAACATAATGATGCTTTTTAGGTTTTTGTACCACTGATAAAGTAAAAATTATTACAAAGTTTTCTCTTATTTAAACATGAAATTGCTTCAGGGAATTTTATTACCAAGTATTTGAAGTATTAAAATACATGTTTTTATATCTTCTGGGTTAGCGTGCTGATGATGAGCTATACCTCAGGCACTCTTTTATCCCTGAAATGATGAGTTATTTTCTTTATGAAATCACTTGCTTCATTTGATTCTCACAGCTATCCAAGAATATAAACACTCCAGATATCTTATTCTTATTTTAAAATACAAAAAGCTTTAAAATAATTCAAATAATTAATTAGATATATACCTAATACCAGCTTTAGAGCCAGTGGAAACAAACCCTTAGTATTTATTCATGAAATATATTTTTGTTAAGCAAAACATAAAGCCTCTCTGATAGTTCTGTGAAGGATATTCCTATGTTTTATGTCTAACAATTTGCAATGGGTTTATGATTTGGCAAGCAGTGTAAGACATGATCGAATACTTACAGAAGCACCATTTCAGGTGACAGAAAGTTGAAAATGTGTTTCTAAAGTAAACTGATAGAAAAAGTCATCCTCTCTATTATGGTTATAAAGGTCATGGTAGTAATCATAAAGAAGAAAGCGATTTTTGAAAGTTGAATTTTAATAGAATACTAAAATTGACAAAAATTAAGAAGGGATGGATTTCAGTTAAGGGTGTGAGGAACTACCAAATGTTGGAGACTTCTAGCTTGAGAAGAGAAAGACTTGGTCACTATGTAGAAGTTGCTATCAAGATTGTGACCCTAGGCGTTATGCTCTCCAAGTTATACTCATACAACTTTTGTTTAAGCTTAAATATACACCAGAAGTAATTGAGTAACCTAATAAAATAATGATGAAATCACATGAAACATTATTATCTAGCTATTAAAATGAGTAGAGAATTCTATAGGTAATGAGGTAATAACATTGACATCCGGGATCCTTTTAAGTGGGGGAAAAAACAAGATTTAGTTCTGTATATGTGGTATTCTATTTGTTTAAAAGGAGTTTAAATAGACTATTTTATTGGGTATTCATATAATTACAGAGCAGAGAAATACTAAACAGTTTCTCCTTCTGGAAAGAAATTTAAGTAGCACTTTTTAAGTAGCACTTAACTTTATGTGTGTAACTTTTTCATATATATAATGAAATTTTGTGTTATATGAATAAATTATCTAGTGCTATGTAAATTAAAAACATATTTTGTTTGAGAGAAAAAACACCCAATAAAACAGAAACTGAATTGCCAAACTCTGGCAAAATACTGCAGCAATGCAATCAGGAATCAGGAAGAATAAATTTTAGATTGAACGCTCAGACTTAACACATCTCGGGTTGTTATTTTATTTGATTATGCCAAGAAACATTTATCTTTGGTACCAAGCAAAAGGGTGGATACTGAGGTTTTGTGATATTACATTTTATCAGCTTGAGGGTGGCACAGTAGGAATTTTCTCATTAGAGTCCAAAATGTGCTTGAGTTAAACAACGTGCAGCTTTGTTGGGTCCTGTGGAAGCTCTCCTTTGATGCAGGGTTTTTCTGTTGCAGGGCTCTTTGGAAAGCCTGTGTGGGTTCTTACATAAAATGAAAATGTCAATTCTTACCTCAGCCTCTCTGTGGTCAGGTTGGTGGTAATTATCTTTAGTGTTAGATCATTCAGTTCCCATATCTTATAAACTTATTCTAATATTCTTGTAATCATCCTCATTTGCTCAGTTGCTAGTCCTCTTTCTTGAAAAGTATGGATAGGCCCAAACTCTCTCAAATGAACCATTAAATATATAACTCAAGACAAGATGTGCTCTTATTTTTAAAAACATTTTATCCCTCAGTTGCCCATTTATTTTATGGTTAAAAATGACAGTACTATGTCATTCAGTCCTCTTGGGAACCAATACAGATGCTCCTATGAGAAAGTTTTTGCCATCGCAGAATGCAGAGGACAGCACCAGCTATATTGAAAATCTCTTACACTAACATTTCCTGTGGTTCATGCTTTTACATTGCAGGAGTGACTATTCACTGTGACTTTTTGCCTTAAACAGAAATCATGTCTAGAAATTCTACGCAAAGATGTTTATAGTATGAAACAAAAGAAAGAGCAAAACAGAAAGCATTTTTAAGGGATAATTAAACTGGCCCTTTATATAGAGGAAAGGAAGATTAATGACTCAGAAAAAAATTTCCACGCTTTATAGAAGTCAGTCTACTCAGCAATCTCTCTGCTGTCAGAAAATTTAAGGGGTCCTTTGCCTTAGTATTTTTCCAAACCTTGGCATACAGCACGGGATTGATGAGGTTGGCTGTTTAAGGGTGTGGCATATTGATTGCATTGATGACTTCCATTAATGGACCCCTTAAATCCATATCATTTTCTTTGTAACTGGACAGCTCCTTTTCACTCCCATGCAGCACTTGCTTTGTGAATGATTTGTTCAGTACAGCTCTGTTGAGATGGGGACATTTTTCCAAGTCTGCCTTAAACAGATTATCATCTCCCTACCATCACTATATGAAGCAGGAAAACACTCAGGTTTTCCAGATGAAGTCATCTAGCTTGTTGACATCAAACATGTGACAGCACTCAATGAA